TGTGTGCAGCCTTGCCTGCCTTGTGCGAGAGTCAGAGTCGAAAAGCGCGTGTACTCCGAAAAAATGTACCAACCGTGAACTCCAAAGTGCTGTGGCCGAGGATCGTGTGCAATGCTGCGATCGGAGCATGTGAGACAGCTACTCGAGAGGCTTGCAATGCTGGCAAAGGCTGCGTTGTCGATGACCCTTGCTAGGGAGAGTTGGTCAAGTCACGTTGACCTGAAGATCTTCATGTCCGCCAGCTCCCAACGTACCTTTGCAGGCTTGTGGGCTTGCATGAGCAGAGCAGACATTGAGCTGTATCTTACGCCAGGAACAAATCCACCTTGAAGGCCTAGATGCCCCTGCCCGTTTCTGCCCGCTGCATTTGAGAGGATCGAGCCTGCAATCCAGCTCGGACAGAGAACGGCACTACTCAGTCCAGTCCTCTTGGACTCTGACGGCACTCTGAAAGGAATTCCAAGCCCGAACAGCTGACTCGACACGCCCAGAGCCGCCAGGAGCCCCCAGGAGCCCCAAGGTCAGTCTGGCGGAACAAGATATGGACTCCGTGCAAGCAAAGATCACCCAAAGCTTGGTGCATCATGGTGCGACCCGCAGTCGCAGGCTCCCTTCTCTTGGCTCTCGCCCAAGATGTGCCACAGTCACACCAAGAATTTGTGTCACTGCCTCCTTACGACCTCTCAGTTTCTCGTGTGCCAAATTGTTGGGACCCTGGTGGAAGCGACTGGTGTGTCGACGAGAATGCCTTGATAAATTGGACAAACTTCACATGCTTCTTTCTCTGATTCTCTCTGTAAGCATTGTGTCTCTCATTGTGCGCAACAACACGTCGCCCTGTTTCCCCAAACCAGAGCAGTACTAGTACTTGGCTGGGACAATGGAGGGACTTCAGAAGTCAGTTCGGAGCTTGGCACCCGAGAATTCATCGGCAAAGCTGCACTTTAGGTGCTTTACATCGCCTACATGGCCAAGCCGACGCAGTGCGCATGGTTCAGTCAGGGCCGCCTCGTCGATGTCAACATGAGCGTGCAATTAGTCGTGACACGCTTCCAATCGTCGGCTCTTCAGCTCTTCAGAAATCCTAGCCTATGCCTAGCCAGCGAACCATCCAGCGACTAGTACATGCAAGGCAGAGATCTTGAAGGCTTTAAATTTAAACAAGGATAACACACTCTGGGCTGTCTCCACTTGTCCTGCAGGGAGTGGTGGTGGGGGCGATAAGAAAAACCAAAGAGCCAACAGGAAATTTCAGGCTTGCCAGATGTTGGCCGAAGCACTGAACTCAAGATCACCCACACAGCTGACATCTGCATCCCTACCCAAGAGCTTATATGACAGCTCCGAGTAGTCAAGGGAACCCCAAGAGGAACCCCGCACAGGGCTTTTTGGTGAAGCCTTCGTTGCAGTACATGATCTTGTTCTGCTCGTGAAAGAAAGAAGAGGTTCTGTCTGGCAGCCGCACTCTTCCTATTTGGGCCAGGTACACGCTGATCCTGGCCACCTTTGAAAAGGCACGAGCATTTCATGTATGACCGTTTCTGGCAAGTGTTCTGATAATGCAGTGGTTTTGGGTCCGGAAGCTCGCTTTGTGTCTTGATGGCCCGATTTGTCTCGACGAGTTCAATGGTTCGGCGAACTTGAATTACAGACACTGATCATGCGGGTTTGGGGAGAGGTGTACGTTGCAAGGAACGCTTCCGCCGGAACTTGTGTGCGGATGCTCGTTGAGAAGTCGCTTTAGTCACGTCCTTTGACTCCAACCTTGTAGGATACAGCTATTACGTTTCTTGTTTGGTTGTGATTGCCCTGGTCATTCGCGAACTGGCGGCGTTGCTTTGTAAGGACAGCCCATCTGACCCCAGCGCTGAGGAGGCATCGTGAGATCAGAATGGGGCATTTCTGCGACTCATGTGGAATACTGTCTCTGCTCAGTGGAACATGCGTGCATGCGCATGCAATCATGCAGAGGCTTTTCGGGAATCCAGCGCACTCCCGTTGATGCCTCAGTTTCAGGGAGAACTAGATATTCTTCGGAAGAGTTCTGGGTGTGTGTCCGGGCATGGAACAGGCGTGACTGTTGAGCTTTAGGGTGAGGTCTGTAATTACATACAGCTGAGAAGCTCAACTGGTCAATCCAAGCTTCAAGCGCCAGCCTGAAGTCAAAGAATGAAGCCCTCCACACCCAGATCCCACGGACGCCTCATGACCTATCGCCATCGCTAGGAACCCATGTGCTGTGATACACGACAGTCTTATCTCAGACGCAGCTGCAAACAAGCCGTGCGTAAGGTCAGAGCTCCGACGAAAATTGCATGGCCCTGTCTGGGTGGCCGATGACAAGGGGGAAGGCTACAGATGCAGTCGCAAGTGTTTAGTTCTAGGATTCAGGGTAGCCGGCCAATCTTGTGTGCTATGGAGTTATGGCTCTGGTTGTTGAGATCAATGTGTCGTCCAGCCACACCTCTTTGCTTATCCCGATCTGCAGTCATTGCGATGCTGACGGGTGGGTCCCTGGATGACTGGGCGAAGAACCCAGAGTACGTCCTCGAGGCCACCAGACTTTCTTTCAGTTTGGAGGGCCTGTTCGCTTCCCATTCTCTTTCAGAGCAACTCCCGGAACCAAAGAGAACTGGAGCTTGTAGCATGAAGTTTCCTCTGAGCTTGGCTTTCGGCCGCACCTTAAAGCTGTCTTTGCATCACTTCACTCCATAGACAGGTTTTTTTGGGTGACTCCTGTAACTTCAGCACCACTAGGTCCCTAGGTGGCATACGGACCACCCGTACACCAGAATCAGCTGTCTGTTGTGGCTCGACCTCAGGAGGTTACCCGCCGCAAAGTGAAGCTGCGCTTCGGCACTTTCGAGGAAAGGTTGCCAGATGTGACGGGAACCCGATCCCAAAGGGTCCAAGTAATCGGATAGTATACACTTTGGGGCCCAAATGAGATTATTAAGAGCCTCTATATTGGTACTTGAGCCTTTCGGGAACAGCCGCAGAAGGCATATCACTGGGAGTGGCACCTTAAGGGCTCGCGACTGAATGGGGTGCGTATGTCCAGTCGTTGACGCGACGTATGTTCGGAGGCTTGTGGTTTGTTGGAATTGTTTCATGGCCCTGGGGTTTTCGGTCGGCCTGAATTATGCGTCGGAGGTGCCATGATTCCAGTATCATACCGAACGGCTAAATTTAGGGGCCTGAAAACTTGCCGAAGCTATTCATTCTGTAAGGGCTCTTTATTATGACTACACTACAGTGTACCGAAAATTACCGATCCTCTTCATTGATGAAGGCCTCTAAATTCGACAGGATCGCTGTTGCGACAACGGTGGCCTTGGGGACCACCTCGATCGCCTCGCCGCGGCGGTGGCCCGGGATGTGGATGGCCTGGTACCTCGCACCGCAGATGTCAGTGCCACGCACTAAACGCATGCGTCATATTATGAAGGTGCATACATGCCGATGCCTGTGCATGTACAGGTAGAGTACAACAGTGCAGAGTTGTTGATGCGGGCATGTGTGCAACACGAAGACACCTTTTGATTCTATCAGCTGCACCCTTGCCATTGTCTACGGTATTGTTGGTTATCAGTGATCAGGTTTTAGATCGCAAGTGGAGCGAGATTCATGGGGTGAACTTCGTAGGCCGGCGTGACAGGCTGCTGCCCCCAGTTTTAGTCGGCATGATTGCCAGCAGCCTCCGCACCTAATCAATGCTTGTTTGCTTGTGGAACTTGTGTGTGGGGCCTGCATGGGACAGTCGAAATCATCAGAGAAAGCTTTCTACGGGCTTCCGCAAGTGCAGGTTGCAAAGGTGAAAGTAGGCAGCTCGAATTTCTCATCGATTCTCACCTAAGTTTGGACGCTCCTGGGTTGCGAAGCTGCAGATCACCCCGAAGGAGGATACCGCACTGGATGAACATCTCGCACCTTCGTCACACAACATGCTGAAGTGTAAATTCGTGGACTGTCGGTTGCGTTGCCCAGTCGAGCCTCACAGCATGTCGGAAACGACTGAGCCAATCCGCCCGAGCCGGCAGCTGTGGCCCAAAGACCGCGAGAAGGAACGGCCAGCTTTAATTGCATGCCGTAGCCTATATAAGTCTGTACCATGAGACCAATCAGGTAGACCCTTTAATGACGGACCTCTCAGACATGCACGACCCCACCCTGCTGCTACAAGTTCTCCCAAAGACTCATCTCGATGCCATGGACGATGGAAGTTGTGGGCCCAAGCATTCCAAAACGTAGGGCTGCAAGAATCAGAACTGTGTGGTTACAGGCAGTGTCACCTGTCTAACGCTCCGATGCTTCAGATAACTGCTGAGTAACTACCATCATGCACGGGACCGTTGTAACAGTTGCACTGGTGACAGCAAAGCTTTGTGCCATACCGCACTCTGGGGATTCAGGCTACAGGAGTTGAATCTTGAAGTGTCAGGATACAGATGTCCTGCACAAGCCTGAAGCGTGTAAGCCGGTGAGAGTTGCTACCCCTACTCCCGATTAACAACAATATAGGAGCCTAAGTAATTGCCTATACTATCTTGGGGGCTCCTTCTTATGATTATACTATAAAGGACCCCCAAACCCTATTCTAATTATTAAGGCCCCTATATTAGCAACGCCCGGACTACCTGAGCCTCCTACTTCGCGACCGAAAGCATCGGAGCCCCGGGGCAGCTTGAGCCGTTTTACACCAGCTGGCATACGAAACCGAATGGGGGCAAGAGCTTTGTGCCCAGAAGATACCTATACTCCGCTTGTGCCCTGATCAGCATAGTTATGTGGAGACTCCGCCGAATTTGTCGCTCAACTGGCCTTTCAGCTCGGATTTGGGGAGCCTACGAGACGTCCCCGAAAGGGCCATGCCGGGCAACGGCTGCCCGGCAGCATTGGCGGATAGTATGAGTACCGCAGAATGTCCCGGGGGTGATCGACGCTATGTGTGTCCCTCTAGGCCGTGGCCGAAATCCTTCGCGAGCTGAGGTTAGCTGTTAATGGCGGAGCGGCGAGTGTCCAGCGGGGATGCTGCAGGGACACAAATCATCCGAAGAGTCTTGGCTTTGAGAACCCTAACAGAGTTGCCAGATGCAATGGGCCGGGATCGCTGCTCCTGGACAGCCATCAGCCAATGATTAGCAAGTGTTCATGCATGCTCTTTGGGGCGATGTTGCTCGTCAATGAAGTGCAGGGATCAGTCTCCACAAGAGGTGACCCACCTGCTAAGTGAAACCTTCGCGCGACTGACTTAGATGCCCGCATACTTCACCCCATCAGGAAGCAAGAGAACGGAAGGAAGGGTCTTCCATTGAGCCAGAATTCAAGATGTGACCTGTCTTGCAGGGTACGCGGTCGAAACCAGACCTCCCGAAGAGTGTAGATGAAAGCTCCCGACCTGAGCCCCACCTTTATACAGCAACAGCTAACAGATGCACGATGTATGAGTGCATGCGCTGATATTCCATTCTCACCGTTTGCATTCGGATCCTTAGTCATTGAGGGTAACTTTTTGGAATTGCAGCATTATGGCTGTATTTGTTTGGTAGTTTTCGGTTGTATTCATGGATACCGTGCAGGTCCGTTATACAAATGATGTCTATATGTAGAGGCATGCAATTAAACAGGCTATGCATCAACATGCTTGCACATGGAGGAGGCAGACACAGCAGTATCCCCCGAAGCCTCGACTCTTTCCTCCGGCGCTGCCTATCCAAGTTTGCCTGCGCTCCTGGAACAGAGACTCCTTGCTGCGGGCCTGGTTTGATCACTTTGACACTGTGGCTGTTTTAGGGCTTGGGGTGCCTTCAAGAGCCGAAGAGAGTCGTTTCGTTTCCTGAGCCAGAATGCAGGAATGCAGTAGATTCGTCCGGAGGCTTAGGTGGACTGCCGGAGTGTTGGACGTTTGCGGTCATGTATCCGAAAAGCAGGCTTTCGAGCCGAATGCATGGCTTCTGGTGCGAGAGAGTCAAGTCCGAAACCTTACAGCTGAAGGGGGCTGCCCAGGTTTTGGCCGGCACACCGGTAGCAAGTATAGTAAAATGTACGCAAGCGAGTACGGAGGAGTGGACTGAATAGAAACATGACAATTGGACATATATAATTAATCCAATAAAATGCTGCGGCTGTTCGCTGTGGAAGAATCGCAGGAGGAAGGTCCAAATGACAAAGTTGTGATGAACGTTCGCAGAGGCTTCAGACTGCCTTAAGCTTGGTATACAGTGTTTCGGGCTATGGCAACAGATATTCCGCCAGTATTGCACCCTCTTATGCACACCTACCTACAACAGGGCATTTTCACTCGAACGTTGCTGTTGAAGGGAACTTAACGGCTGCGCAACCTTTGCCTCAAATCCCAGGCATGCAGACTTGTGACGTGTGCATAAAGGCTGTCATTGTGCTGAGCAGCCCAGGATGATGATCGAAATGGTTTCCTCGTGCCTTGCAAGATTGTTGGACGGTGGGGGATGTGGCGAGTTTGCTTTCCGTGTAGAGGTTGATTGGGAGTCATATGGCGCCTTCAGCACACAGATCTGTGCTCGGGTTCCTAAAGACTGGTACCACCCATTTTAGAGCAGCACCGCACCTTACATGCGGTGGTTGGCATGTAAGATGCAGCTTGCTTGCCCACGTTATGCCAGCATAGATCAAACAGTGCGATTGAAGAGCTCCACTGCACACATGCATGTGCTGAGCAGGTGGTGCCCAAACTATAACTCCCCCATATGATCTTGGGAAGTCGCACAGTTGCCCAAGGAACAGGATGAGTTCAACGCAGTGGCCGATCGCATTGCCCATCCCAATCCGCAGCATGTCAAGATTGAGCTTGAGCGTTTGCCGTTTCTTTTTGCACCATCAGTAGGTTCATGGTCCCTTGTACTGATACTGACACAGGTACCAGCTGTGGCAGCAGCTGGACAGCGACCGGACAGGCTACGTCAGCCTGCGAGACATCAGCGAGGTCGGCAGAATTCTAAGGCAAATTGATTCGGTGGATGCCAGTCATTTCAGGACTTGCAACAACTACCAAACTTCATGCTTGCGGACCTAAGCTCTCGACGCAAAGAAAGCCACATTCACGAACTACGACCACACACTCCGCACAAATTTCCCTTTGACAAGCTCTCTGCAAAGCTCGATCTCTCCGAATCGGGTCTCAGCGGTGAGATTCTGCATAAAGCATGTTTTCCATGGTCGTGACTGATGACTAATAAGCCCTTTGAGGACGATGCTCAGCTCTGGTTTGAGTTTCGAACTTTCTGCGGCGCAAACTTCAAGAGCGCGCGACCTGGATGCAAGGCTTCAGCGTGTCTTGTGAGGTTCATCGTACGCGAGGCCTCACACCGGATGTTTTCTAAGCATGGGAGTCTCAGTCTCTGTGGAACTCGTGGAACCCTGCCTGACTTTACCTTTCATGATAACTGTCATGAAGGACATATATCAAGCCAAAATATTTGGCGTGGCCTGGAGTGTCGGAGCTGCGATATCCGACATCGATCTATATAGTCTTCGTTCCCCGCGGAGGAAGGACATGATGGTGCAAATTCTGGGCATCAACAGCGAAGAGGAGCGGAAGGAACAGAAGCAGATTTCTCGGAGCTACTGAGCTGAACACAATGCTTAAGGGAATCTATGTCAGCTCTTGGGATCCTGATTATGTTTATTTGGAGTTATAGGATGATACAGGGCTCGGGACCATCTCCGAACTGCGCTTTCGGAACAGCTTGTTCGAAGATGAGCAGAGCAGAGCTTTTACCCAGACTCTGGTTACGAGTTGCGATGCCATTCGTCGGAGGATTCGCTTCTTGCCCTTGGTGTCCAGCCTCGGTTTTCGTAACTTTTAGTATAGGTCCATCTCAAGGCCAGCCACCCCCAATCCTCACGCATATTCCTGTGCCCAGGCAAGCTCTTCGGACTCAGGAGCCGTGCCTTTGAGTTAGGTATGGAGATGGAGACTGCAGGCTGAAGCTTTGGGGGAGGAGCAGTTCTTGAAGTCCGTTTAGAGGGCTGAGCTGTGGTGAGCTAATCCAATCTTCGCCGGGGTTGCATGCATACTGCGACACTGCGAGACATAGAGTGCATACATTGAAAGATTCCGGCTTAGCCAAGCTCCGCATCCAGGAGCTCTTCGAAAGCCCATAAATCCAGCACCGGCGCTGTGCGGGCAGGTTGTGGGAGTTTCGAAGTTTCGGAATTGACGTAGTTGACAGCAGCCAACGGATTCTACTCTCTCTCTCTCTCTCCCCTCTCCCTGATTGACACGGGTGGTTTGGCATGTGTGCACACTGCCAAGTAACCGGGCCAGTTGGAGTCTCAACATCTCCGTCCCCGTCACTCGTTCATCCGCCCTTGGCTCCGATCTGGCCCCCTGCCAGGTGAAGAGTGTTCTTTTACCATCAGCGAGGAAGCGTGGATAAGCGGCCTTACCCGATGTGGTCACCCGGCACAGAGAAAGACCACTGACTAAGCAATTCAACCATGGTTTCCTTGAGAAGCTCTCTGTGTCTGAGACACCAGCATGGAGACCTCCGGCAGCCGATATAAAGCTTTGGACACCGAGCTTGTTTCCTTTGTCCGTCCCGATAGCTCCTCGTCCAACACCTGCGATGGCAAAGGCTGGCAAAAGCATCTCCCGGAGCGCTGCCCCAAACGGGGGAGGGGGGAAGGGGCGGGCGACTCAAGGGTTTGATCAGGGGCTTCGTCACTGGATCACAGCTGGGATGCTTTCGGGGGCATTGTGGGACTGCCCGAATCGTGCCAGGAGTTATTCTATGCCTTGAAGGACATGCGCACAGGCTCGCTTCCTCGTCCTACGATAAGTTCATGGAGCGATACTATTGACTACATTGGCAGTAGTAAGTTCCCAAAGTTTAGAGAGGCTTGAGCCGACATCCCAGAAAGTCAAGAGCCTATTTGCTGGACAGGGCTCGTGGATGCCACGTCTCTGCGGTGGGTCGCTCTGGGCTCAGTCGCTTCTGAGTTTGGCTCCGAAGCTACTCCCTTCAACTCCAATTCCTGCACCGAACAAACACACACACACACACACACACTCACACACCTACACACCCACACCTCCTCCGAAGTTCCTGCAAATTTATGCGGGATCCCCGGTCCAAGTCAGTGAGGAGCCGGAGGTCCGCAAGTATAACCAGAAGCAGGAGATGCGTCGGAGGCTGGGCCGTCTGGTGTGTAACCTCTGCATGCTGGGGGCAAGATGCGAGCTTGCGCGTGGAGCCCATTAATCCAAGTCAGAAGAGGTATATCACTAATGAGGCCTCGACTTGGTGCTGATCCTCTCCGGCTCGAAATTTAAGAGCTCTTGGAACGAAGAAACACCAGGTCATAAGAAGTCGTACTGGATAGCCATAAACGGGACCCAAATGGAGACATTCTGGACAACGTAGTACCGCCCCAGATCGCCCAGCTGCTTTGCCTCCTCTTGGCTTGCGACCGAGAGCCAGCTTTCAGGAATGCAATCTATAGTCACCATTATTTTTTCTTGTTTAGTTATCCTTCTAACATGACATTCGCCAACCAATACAGACAGACTACAATGGAGGACCAACAATACGGAACCTCTTCATAGTGCGGTTAGACCTCTGAGAAACAGGGGAGGCGCTTTGCACAAGCTGCGCGGGGAGCGCTGTGGCACTGTAGTCCCAGTTCGCTCGATTTACCTTCTCTCTGCCTTTTAAGGACGTATATAAGGAAATCGACATAATGAGGAGGCCTACATGTGTAGGTTGTCTACAGGGCTCAGGTAAGCCGACCCCCCCCAACAAAAAAAAAACAGAAAACACCCACGTGCTATCTCCCCGTGCCACTTGGGCAAAGACATAGCAGTTTATAATCACAGTGAGTCTTACCAAATGCGTGTGGACATTCTATAGTGTCATTACCTAGCTGCTGTAGACTATACAACTTATGTGCTTCGATAGCTTAACAATGAGTTAACAATGGAGTCAAGTACCTGCATAAATTGGTATGATAGTATGTGATCTTCAGAATACAATAGGAAACCAGTCCACAGAAAAACACGGGCCCCCACAGTGTACCTTTCTGTAAGGAAAACCCTAAACACTAAGCCCTACAACCCTAAACCCTAGGCCCCAAAACCGAAAACCCTAGACACTAAACCCTAAACCCTAAACGATAAACCTTGAACCCTAAACCCTATAGACACTAAACCCTAAAACCCTAAACTAGACCCTAGCAGGACAGGAGCAGAGCAGAAGGCCAAGGCCGCGGCGCGCAAGAGCCAGCGAGCGTCGCTCGGCAGAGACACTCCGAAGAAGACTTCTCTCTTCTAAAGCTCCTCGTGTCCATGTGTAACTATAGGCTTTAGGGTTTAGGGCGTAAAAGGGTTTAGGGTGTAAAAGGATCATTGAAAAGGTCTTTGAATCTGGCATCAGACGAACATAATTCAGAAATGAGCGTCTAAGGAGCGCAAGGCATTTTAGGTGGACCCAACCCTGCTTTGCACGAGTGAGCTTGAGTTCAGCCTGCGGTGGTCCGAGGCCCGCAGGTATTTTCCCGATGCATTCTTGTACACCAAACATTATCGTTTACGTAGCGGTGCCTATAAGTCCACGTCGACTGCAGCATTCTCTGACGGTGTCTTATGGGAATTTGATGTGCTGGGAAATCCCAGAAGACAGCTGTGCGCTTCATGGTCTCCATACAAGAGGAAATGTGGCTTCGCTAGCGCAGGCAGGATCAAGGTCCTTCGGGTTGGGGCCCTGCCTCTGTGTTCGGGGACAGCTGGAGCCGAGAATAGTCGGACTTGCGACTTGCCGAAACCTACAATCCCGATATACCGAAACTCTTTGCGCGGACCCCTACCGGAGCAGGAACCTCCAGAACTTCAAGGTTTTCTTGAGGAATCGCTTTGGGCCTACATATCATGCCTGGCGGAAGGCTGGGTGGCACCGAGATTTGCTCTTGCGTCTCTCAGGGCCTGTTTTTCGTCATCCCAAGATGTCGAGACTTGCTCAGCTTTTGCCCCTGTTCAGCTAAAGAGCATGTCTTGATTGAGGCATATTGAGGCGATGTGACCCCCTCTCCGTCCGGAACCTCTCGGGTTTGTACAGATTGCATCAGACTGGTACCCTCGTCCTCGGCAGGTTCTGGACACAGACGGCACGATGTGGCACGGCCGAACATCATTATCTTGCTCTGTTGCCTACTCACCTCGACAACTTGACCTCGCAAGCGCTTTAGGTTCTAGCTTGGGCCCTTTCGTTTGCACATCATGTTTTCGGAGATGGACTGAATCGGTTTGCAAGCGATGTTGAACGCTTCAGATGTCACTGGTCTACAATGCAGTTTTGCACAACGCAAGCGCTGACTCCATGTTTCCTGTTGCTACCTTGTATAGGTCTGTTTCAACAAGTCCAAATTCAATGCGTCTTCTGTCTTGCTCTTGAGATGCGAGGAGGCCTCAGAAACAGGCCGCAATGTGCCAATGTGCAGGCCGTCTGCCATAATGATACGCATGATACGCACCCTTTTAAGGATGTGCTGCTCGTCGGCCGAGGAACCTTCAACGGCCGGAGCTCAAAAAGGTGTGCCGACAGATCGGCTTCTGTACTGCATTGAGGAGGCGGCGGGATTTGTGATTTACGGTTCTAGACTGCTTGATGGGAGTCGGGCTTCAGCGCATGACCGTCTCTTCTTATTGCTGGAAGCCCCGCATATAGCTCAGTTGTAGCATGCTACTTCTATTCATTGGCAGACCTGAACCGCAGCACGGACTCACTCATTTGCAACTGCGAAGGCAACTCTTGCACTAAGCTGGCTCCGAGCGTCGATGCATGTTTTTGCATCGCAAGCAAGTCTGACTGTTTCATCTTGTCCAGCACCAAGCCTGTCAGCACATCACAACGGAACAGCAGGCAGCGGGAGCGAGCTCCGCAAGGCAAAGCACCAAGCCTATACAGCCTATACTGTTCTCAGCCCTCATTCTCCCACCGCTCTATGCATACGCCATACATATACCATGCGGTCTCGGCCCCATGGCACGCCGTGGGGAGTGCCACCTCCACGGGCTTTCGCCCCACCTGCCCCGAGCCTGGAAGTGGAAAGATACCACTAAGCGGGATTCAGACATAGAGGTCAAGTTGGAGGTTGTGGTTGCTTCGGGTTCAGGATGTGTGAATCGCTTCTGGAGTGAAATGCATGGAGGTCTCGAACAACAAATTCAGCAGGATGGCGCCTTTGAAGTACATCTCTGTGGGTCCAGGCCTCGCTGGCATCTGTATTCTGAACTGTAGGGTGACGCAAGCCTGTTCTTGACAAAGCCTGAAAGTAGAACAGCAGTCAGCGCGACAGCAAGATTGTGACCTCTGACCCACCCGCCTGCTCGCTCATACCACGGCAGTGCCGCTGCGACCGAATATGCCGCTAGACGGTTAGCAGCAGAGTTCCTAGTTGTTCGGCTTTAGACTCCAACTTGTGGTGTTTACTGCACTTCAACCAGTGCAATATGCATGCACTATTCTGTTTGCTGGTTCTTGACACAGACTTCCATGGTTGGTGTCCGCGGGCAATTCTGGGGGGACTCTGGGGCATTCCCGTCCAGAGTTCGCTACTTCACAGTAGCTGTAGCAGCTGCCGGCACCAGGGATGATCAACCTGAAGCCCACAACTAGATAATCCCACATGCCCGAAGTTAAGTTCGCAACCTTCATGAGTCCAACCCATACAAGCCCCTCACTAAGCTTGACCAGCCTCAAACTTAAGCCCTCCACTGTACAGAACCCTAATCCTCTGGGCCCCCAAGCCTAAGCCCTATACGCCCCGGTAAACCTGAGCAAGAAAACCTACTTGCGACGAGGCCTCCTTCGGCCCTGCGCCGAGCAGATCCCAGAAGCAGGCTCCTTTGGCAGGAATTCCTCTTAGACCCAATGTGGATGACTTTTGGTGCAATGTCTGTTTTGGCTTCACGAGGGTTTTGTCTTTTTTGGTCGGAGTTGGCGACGGTTCTACAGGGTTTTAGTGGGTCTCGATGAGTTCTGTTGCAGATTCAGGATGATCGTCGATGGTCCGAGTGGCAAGAAGCGCGCAGCACTCAGTCGCCTTCCGTCTGGGGTGCGCCGTTGACCGCGACCGCATGCGGTGTTTTTGTTTGGGATCGAAACGGTCGAGTATAAGTACAATTAAATCCTTCCCATCCTGAGATTGTATGTCACAAAAGGCACCGGCTGGCAGGGAAATGCACCAAGGAGCAGCAGACTTCTCACAGCACGTCATAACCACCTCACCATGTACGATGGGGGTGGCACGTCATCAACAGCCCGGGCCACCTGAAGTCTGCTGCCGTTGTTGAGCCATAAACAACGCTCAGAGACCGGGAAACCAGGAAGGTTTTGGGGATGTCTTCCCTCTCGCCCGCGCCAATGCCCGACATGTTTCAAACTGGCTGCCGTCAAGCGGCCCTAGTTGTGGCCCTTTAACTGTTTGTGTGGGCATGCGTCACCTGGCCCACCGTTGGCTATTTGTGGCTGTTTTGGGAGCATGGGCTTCATATCCGTCTCGAGGGTCCAGTCCCTGAAACTGCGTTTCAGTTCTAAACCCCCTCAAACGGTAACTTTCCGGGCATCCTGGCTCGATAGGCTATCGGAGTTTGGTTCTCAGACAGTTTGATGTGGCACCGGCTCCTTCGCATCGAAGGAGTTCTCGCGTGTACGAGGATGCGCAAGCTGCCGTGAGGCTGACAGCTGCTAGGCTCAAGTCTCAATGCAAGTTCCAGACTCCTTGCCAGAGGTCTTGCGATGTCAGTTTTTCTCATCAGGCGGCGCAGGATTTCAAAGTAAATGAGTATGCAGATAGTGTAGGCAGCATTGCAGAAAACGAAGTGGCTGTTGTCCTATATGGCAGCAGTAGCAGAAATAGTAGTACAAGTCGCCTTGAAGTCGCCGTCGTCGTCGTCGTGTGCGTCGTAGCCGCAGCGTTGTAGTCGTCGTCGCCGCAGTAGGCAGTAGTGGAAGCAGGGCAGTTCTGTAGACAGTGGGGTCAAGCTGTGGTTGGTGCCCTGTGTCAGCTTATGGCCTTCCGACGGGTTTGTGCATCGAGCGTATTCAAGGCCGAAGTTGTCCAGCCAAGGGGACCATGTACCAAGACAACAAGCAGTTCGGCTTCCTCGTGCAGGCTGGCGTTGCCGCATTTTGCCTGGCACGTTCCGCTAAGTCTTGCTAAGTACTTATTAAACTGGAACCCACGCGGGATAGTTTACAATGTCTGAATTGACAATGATTCGATTAAGGAGAAGGGTGCTTAATGCTTAATGGGCAGTCATTGACCGGGCCGAAGTGATGTGCGCCAGGACAAGACTCGCGAAGAAGTCTTTGTCCTGCCGCTGTCCTGCCCTTATGGCGTGCTGCCCGAACCTGGGACAAGGCATCGGCAAGGTTCGAAGAGATGCGTCGGCCAGTTTGCCATTTTTGCCTCTGGGCCCTTGGTGCAACATTTCTCCGTCCTGTAACAGAACCAACTCGACATACCCTACCGTGCCAGCTCTTGCAACCCCAGTTGTTCCGACGACGCGACCCTGTTGCGAAGTTTTGGCCGGTCTAAAACAGTTGTCTGTCGCAGCCATCTACAGTTTGTGTCCGCAGGGTCGAGTACACCATCTGCACCGACAAGAGAACTGGTAAGCCGCGTGCAGAAGACGTCGTGCTGGAGGGCCACGGTACTGCTCACACGTTTGTGAAGGAAGGATGACGCCGGCCATGTTGGTAGAATTCGGGCAATCGGCCGGTACAACACGTCCGCTTCGCACGGATGACTGCATGGCTTGGCTTCGTCACAACATGCGCCAGGTCCACAGTCAAAGTCGGCACGGTGGCAACCGAAAGATGAAACAGTGCACTGGCCTCTTGGCATGTTGACACAATCAAATTCATCTAGACTTACTGTCACTTTGATCGCTTTGCGTTGTCATCTACCATGAGATATCGAGCTTGAATTTGCGATGCATGGCTGGTAGTGGTAGCTGCCTTTTGGCATTGTCTGTTCATGCAGGGTTGCACCAGGGTTACTAGCATTTTTCCGTCGAGCACTGTCGGGCTCCCAGTACCAATGCCAGCGCAGGCGAAGCCAGGATTTCTCAGACTTTTCTGTCACCGGGGAGATTACCAAGAGGCCGGGAGGCTTTCTGAAGCGAGCAATCATTTCAGCACGGCATGTCTTGCCACTTATTCTTAAGACTCGGCTTGCGCAAGCTGCCCACAATCCATGCCCGTGGACAGGACCCCGAAATACGGCTTCATCACGTCAGAAGAGTGTGACGACCGGATTCTCGTCATACCCTCAAACTGTGCCCGGGCTTCCAAAGACGAACATCAACGCAAGAGTTGAAATGAGTAACGAGGCCAGTTTCCCTGAGATGTTGATCCAGACGAAGCCGATTAACGGCTGCGAATTGCAAGTTGTTTTTCCTCTATGCCGGGGCTTCTGGGTGTTCGATATCGACAGTTAGGCTTGGGAGGTAGCCTGTGCAAACGGAGCCGGATGTTGTTGTGCAAGGTGAGTTTGCCGGGAGTTGAGTCCTTGCACCTGATGCTGCTGCTCTATAAGATAGGCCCGGTCCAGCACAGGCCCGGGTTTTGGTGGCGAGCTGCCTCCGCTGGGTGCCGTCGTCACATGAAGCTCAGCCGCATTTGGGTAAACGTTTGCTTTTTTGCAGGGGGCATGCAAGGTTTGTTGTCGCATGCTAAACTGCCAGACGACGAATTGCCCTCATATCATTGCTGACCGTGCTGAATCGGCATGGCATTCGAATTGGGCTGCAGGGATGCTGAGTGCTAAAGATTTGCTCTGGCACCGTGGCACCCGATGCGAGGCACTGTGACGAAGCAGCGCGCCAGCAGCTTGAACAGAATTTTCGTTGAGAACAAGTCAAGAAACCCCGTATCCCAAGTATAGAAATCCATTGTGCTCGCAAAGTCGGTTTCCAAACAGCCGATCGGCTGATTGGGTGGTCAGTTTTATAGGGTTCGGGTTTAGGGGTTTAGGCTTTTGGGGTTTAGGGCAGGGCCTGGGTTCAAAAGAGGGGGTTGGGGTTTAGTATTTAGGGACTTATAGGGTTTAGGGGGTTGATCGGCTGATCGGCTGATGCACGGTTTTGGCACACACACACACACACGCACACTGATACTGCAGAAATCATGGCTCCATGCTTATCCGGTCCGGATTGTGGAGCTTCGTGTTTCTGGATGCTAGCATATAGTGTAGAAGATTGCTTCGGGAGCCATATTTTGCATGAGTTTGTTGGCACCAAATGAGTCAGAGAAGAAGACAGGTTCGACCAGCCGGAAGCCCTTAATCCTTCCAATTACGCAGAGCAGAAAAGCGAGGCAAGCTCTACCAACCCAAACCCATGCGAATGCCATGTCTTGTGACGAGACCTGCTGTGGGCATTGGCTCTTGCAGTCTTGTGCTGTGATGAGCTTCGGGCTTTCACGCACACCCTTGTTTGTTGGCTAGGTTTGGGGTGTTGTCCCTGGTCAGTCGTCACTTGGTCGCTGCTTTGTCAATCTGAGAACGTGTGGAGCCCTGCCTGCCTCGAGCGAGTGTGAGAGTCGAAACAAACCGTAAATCACTGAGCTGTTAGGGTAGCAAGTTGTTAGGGTAGCAAGCTCGGATGTCGTGAAGCCATGCCTGCCTTGTGCGAAGAGTCGAAATCATCGAACTACCCAGATATGTGCCGGAATTAAGCTCGGCTGGACTTCCGAAACCTATGTCCGCCCAAGGTGGGTCGAACACAGACGCCTACTTTGCTTTAGATGCCACTTGGCCGCATTGAGAGTGGAGAAATTGAATGAAGCAGGGGTGCAACTTCCTCAGCTGCTCTACCGAAGCCAGGAGCCTCCTGCCGATTGCTTGCATGTTTGGAGCCCTGTGTCCAACAGAAAGTCTTTCAGCTTTCAGCTGGCGAGGTGCACCCTGCCAAGCCTGACGGGGAAGACGATCGATACACTGGAGTCATCGATGCTTCTCTCAGAATCCGATTTCGGGCAAGACTCCATATGCCTTAAAATGTTATATTCACGTCTTGACAGCCGTCTGTTCCGAGTACCACGGGTTTTCGGAAGGGTAGTCGACACTCCAAGCAGGAATCACGCAGTGAGTTCTGGTGCATCTTGCGCCCTTCTGGCGATGAAACTGCTTGCGCTTCCAATCTGGCACCGTCTGTTCGTTAGTATCTCTTTTATTATGCGATGTAATCGCGTGACATCTTTGTGCTAGATCTTCTGTTGCGCGGAAGCCATGTTTATGAAGCGATCCCCTTTTCAACTGGGGCCTGCCGTCGGTGGCGAGGTGGCAGATTGGGATTCGACTTCAAAGCACTCTTAGGTTTCGGTTTCAGTTTTGCTTGACACGTCAGGATGGGGACCATGGCAACTATGGCTTCATTCGTTGTGACCAGCATCCTGACCACAATCATGACAAGATGTTTGTGCTGCCATGGTCGTGCGAAGGCCTGGCCCATCGCACTAGCATTTTGGAGATGTTTCGGCCTTGTTCACGAAAAGCTTGCTCGTTAATTCTGTTTCGAACCTGCAGCCTGATGGGACACAGAGCAGGAGGAGAGATGTTCGAGATCGGCACGCCAGTGTCTTTCAGCATCGTCGAAGATCGCAAGACCGGCCGCCCTCGCGCAGAGGATTCGCAGCTGCAGTTTTTGGGGAGCTGAGGGGAAGTCGCTTGCTCGCAGGAGCTTCTCATGACCTTGAATACGTTGATTCACGTTCTTTACTGTAGGTGGCAGCTGGCATGGTCTTTCGCTAAGTCTAGTGCATGGGCAGAGGCCTATCGGCAAACGTGTGTCACCGGCGTGCCACAAGCAGGCGCTGTGCTAGAAGGCATTGGACGTCAAGGTTAGCTTAATTAGAGGATCATGGGACTTTGTAAGTAGGGTTATAACTAAGGTAACTATACTTATAACCCCAATTAGGGGACTTATTTACTTACTATGTCCCATGATCCTCCAAGTAGCTTTGTGACGCTCGCAGGATGTGGTCAGATTTTCTGGCTCGGCGCCTTCAGCTTCAGGAGCTCCTGGGTCCGGCACTCGGGACGGTGGTAAACGGCAAACGCCTTGAAGGTTCCAAAGTCTTCCAGCAGCTTTCATCGCCGTGTCGTTGTGACCATCATTGCACCTGTCCCATGCGATGGTGACACACCCACACATGTTGAGAGCAAAGTCCTCCGACAGCTCAAACCCAGTCAACGAATCATGGTTGCTCTTCGTGCACAGATCCCTGTGTGCGCCCGCATTGTTATGATTATAAGTAGCATTCAGAGGCGGAGCCCGTTCGCGCGGCATTTATTAAGCCTGATGTTGTGCGGCGCAGGTTGAGTTGAATTTGCGCAGTGGCCATACGTAGGTGTCTCAAGCTACAGTATTCATGCATGTGAGTTTGAACTTTAGTTTGATTCTCCTATTGACCGAGTCCTCCGGCCTTATATGCACCTGGCCACACCTCTGCATTTATGCGTATGCCGGTAAACTCAACAAGAAGACGTGTCCATGCAGACTTGCATGTCTCGAACGCACGGGAGTGCAGTCAAAACAACATGCCAATGTACTCCAACCGTAGTCCTGTAGCTGTATACTTCTGCATGATGCATACGGTATTATACGTTGCAGATTAGCATATATGCAGAGACAGAGGGAGATATTAAAGAGTTCGTCAGCAAGAGACGTGCGTCACTATGTACGCATGTAAGGATGCATGCATGGATGTGTACATGCATGCATGATCATGCAAGTGTGTGCGTGTACGCATATGTACGTACGTACATACATACATACATGCATACACACACATATCTGTATATATTTATATTATGCGAAGGGTGTACACATGCGTTGTGTGCTTGTCCATCTGTCTCGTAATTATGCTTGTGATTCTCTGTTTTCGTCTGTCTATGATTCACAGCCATCACCCGCTGTGAAAGGTCTCGAGCGCCCCGCGAGCCGAGCCATCCTCCAAAAGCACGTCGTGAGCAGCGAGGCTTGGTTTTTTGTTCGGAATTAGGTTGTGGGTTTAGGGCATCGGATTGATGGCACGTTGCAAAAGTGTGGGTCAGGGCTCAGAACCCCGAATCCAATACGCCCCGTGAAGCCGCCTGTGCCAGGATCAGTTGAAGGCGTTACCGTTGAGCTTCGCAGAGGCATGGCCTTGAGACGCAGGGATGCCGGAGCAGCAAACTGAGACGAATTTGACGAATCAGGAAGGTGTCGAGACTCGGCTCTGCCCATATCCAATCCAGAGTTCTTTACACAATCGCGCGACAAAGCTGCTTTTGCAGACCTCTGCGTCTTGAGCACCAAGCTCGAAACCGCAAGCCTGCGACTGTTTCGCCAGGGCAGCTTGCACGCGACAACGGGACATTCGGGTTCATCCAGCCAGATGGCAATGGCGGGGATGTCTTCGCCTCTTGGCATTTCATGACGAGCTTTATGTGCGGTTTAGTGTAGAGCTGTATGGCTGAAAGCATGCAGTGTAGACTGTTGGTACATAACATAGAACAGAGTACAATCACATGCACACACCCACACGCACACCCACGCACGCGCACACACGCCAAAGACACACACACACACACTTGCAGACCGGTTATCCCCACATAGATGGATGGATGCTGTTTGTGCTGGCTTGATACTTGATTTCTCTTCAATTATATCTCCAGTGCCACAAGGGGGCCCACTGGCTAATCCGGATGCAGGTACAAGAGGATGATCAGTCCTCTCTTCCCACGTCACTGGTAGCTTCGTTGGACACAGTCCCAGTGACATGCTGTGCCCCCCTGCTGAAAAACGCCCCACCCTTGTTCCTTAAAGAACAGGAGGGCCACACACACAGACACACATGCACACACACACACACACAGAGACACACACCCACGCACGCGCGCACGCACGCACACGGATGCACGCCACAAACAAGGGCTTCCTATATATAATGGTATTTTATAAACATTCCCAGGTTCTTCCCTCCCAGTTCGAGGGTGGCGTCTTCCCTCCAGTGGGCACGCGGCTGGCCTTCAAGGTGGCCCCGGACGCCGGGCGGCAGGCAGCACAGGGGTGGGTCCAGAAGCTTTGTCATGGCGTGTAAAGGTTGAGGCGTTTAGGTTTCAGGTTTGAGTCACTGAGGGCTATGAAGCTTGTCGGATGTAGGGTCTCGGTCGCATGAGCTTCCATATTCATGTGGGCCCCAGCAGCTGCAGTAGCAGGCTGCAAACCAACCAAAACAACGGCTTCTATTCTGCTTCCTTGGTTACGGATGCTGCCACGCGGGAGCCGAAAATGGTTCCTTGGTTTTAAATTTTGGATACACCATCGGGAGCTTCGGAAGCATCACAGCGTAAGGCCGTTAGGCCATGTGAAGCAGTCCCGTGCAAGAACGTACCATGCATCTTTTTTGTTGCCCCTACGTGAGCTTCTCGCCAGGGCGAGCGGCCAAAGTGCACGGATGTCCGCATCCTGCAGGCCCTCCTTGGGTCTCAGGATGGCAATGGGCCTGGATACAGGCATTCAGTATGACCCACGAGCCAAAAGCACACAACACGAAATAGACCTCGTGAGGGTTTTTACTCGACGCTGCAAGCCCCCTACTAGGTCAGCTGCCACTGCCTGGGCCAGTGTAAGTAGCCAAAAATCCGCGATCCGAGTCAGCTTTGCCATTCGCCCAGCTTTTCGCTTGTAGTGATTTGTATGCGAGATCCCTCCAATCCTCAGGAAAAATTAGAAAGGACGATGGACAAGTCATAACTTGGCCAGGAGCTGAACCTATAGCCACTTTTGGACATACATATTCATATATGTGTATATACACACAGAGATAGATAGATAGATAGATAGATAGATAGATAGATAGAGATAGGAAGGTAGGTAGATGGGTAGATAGGTAGATAGACAGACAGATACATAGATAGTTAGATAGATAGATAGATAGATAGATAGATAAGATGCAAATGCGGTCACGACATGCCGTCGTGCTGCAAGACCCCTCGTGGCAGGCCACACAGGTGGTCAGCCCTCCAAATCCGAAGCCCAGCTCATCTCCCGCGACTCCCTGGCAGCGAGCCAGGCCTTGAGAGAGAAGAAGACTTGCGAGTTCAGCATGAGTTTAAGTATCCGTTGCCGAGTGGCCGAAATGCAAGAACGCACCGATTCGAACGAGCTGACTACATGGTCCTGTGAAGTTAATCTCCTGTTCCTGTCTCGGAGCCCGTATGCCCAAGAGTACCCGGCTTGTGGAGGAAGTGGGAAGCTCCGGAAGCTCAGCCCCCGACACCGTTGCAATCCAAGAGGGAGGCTCACTTCATGAGGGCTGTGTAACGGTGCTTTCTTGGCGTTTCGGCCGAAAAGGCCCCAAAGCATTCGCCTGCGAAGTCAGAATCAGAGTCCCTACTGTTTGGCAGTCCCGGGAAGATCAGGTCACGGGCCTTAGTTCCCTAATCTCATTTGCTGGCCGCTTGTCCTGTTGTTTTTGGGATGTGACGAAGGAGATTGCTGATCGATAAACTGAGAGCAAGATCGAAGAACTGAGCAGCAACACCTTGCATGTGTCTAGCAACAGCAATGTATATGCAACGTATACGAATCAGAATCGGGTGACCCACCTACTCAGCTCAAGGACCGCAGTTTAACACTACAGAATGACACCAATACGATGAACCCGGAACATAATAGCGCCCAACTCTGAACACCATCTCCTGGAAACAACACAGTCGTAGGCACTACTGAAAAGGTTCGTATTAGCACGTACACACTTACACACATGGGTACATGCATGCATACATACAAGCACATGCATGTATAAACACATGTGCACATCTACATCTTCAAGTACATTTACATATACACATACAGGTACGTGTACATATACATATAGAATATAGAGATACATATATACACACAAGCATACATACATACATACATACGTACGCACATACACACATACATACATACACACACAATCTCATACATAGATACATACATACGTACATACATGCATATATTATGTGTGTGCGTATGTATGTATGTATGTATGTATGTATGTATGTATGCATATATGCATATTGCTGGCACAGTTCCGGAAGGTGGTACAAGAACGGGGCAGCGTGAATGGTAGTGTACAGGGAAGCATGACAGGGGATCCGCTTGAGACCCTTCGTGACGTTGATGTACAGGCCTGCGCGTGGCGGCAATTCTGCGATGCCGAGGGCGGAGGGGTTTATGATCCCGAGGAGCATGGCGCCCCATTCTTAAGGCGGGCGAAGAGCACTGGGTGAAGAGGAAGGAAGACTCTTTCTAGCAGGGTCTACGATGCTCGGATTTCAACTCTACGGATTTGAGAATATTCTAGGATGATCGAAAGACCCGTGAAACAATGATTCAGGGGAAGGGGGGGCTAGAAGGCTTTAGAAACTCCTCGTCATTTTGCTGGAGGTCACCAACAGGGAGATTCAGTATGGTATTGCCTCGTGCAGGTTTTGCGAAGCATTCTGCATGGACTGATTGGGCGTTGATGTAGAGCGACTGCAGTGAGAGGCGATTTGTGAAGACTCTCCTTCATCCCGAGAACGGGTCGCTCGGACACTCAGATGTTTTCTGTCGGTTCGTCGCTATTCCCAAGAAAGCCTTGCATTTATTGGTCCGCATAGCCGCAGGCCAGCCTCGAGAAATAATCTGCCATCCAAGGCAGCAGCCACCTTCGAAGTACCGCAGGACGACTTAGTGTCGCATTCGAAGGACGCGGAAAAAATCCTGTGGTGGCCGAGCTGGGCAACTGTTGCAGTTAATAACTCAAGTAAGGTGGAGCACGTAGTCATCTCCTCGACAACCCAAGGCCGCCATTGCCAAATGCAACCACACATCACCTCCCCAAAGTTGAAGGGCCATCCAGCGGCGCGAATGGTTTTGCTTGGCGGATATGTCAACCATCATCTTCAGACATTTGTGTGCTCTATACCAGCTGAACGACGAAGGCCTCAAGAGTGCGAGGTTCATCATGCTTCAAGCTACAGTCTCTAAGGCTGGAAGGGTGACACCACATGCCTCTGGCTGGCGCTGGATAATGGGGGCAACGGCCCCCTGATGCATAATGGGTGTAGATGTGATTTCCGATAAATTGTCCGTGCCTGTATCTCACCCTCTTCGATTATGCCGATACACCATAGGGCTGTCTGCAGGTCCTGAAAAGGGAGCAGAGGGTCTCTGTGTATGTTTGTTGCTTTTGGTTCGATCTAACTTCAGCAATTTCCTTGCATCCAACAGGACGGAGTGTAAGTCCGCAAGGAACTGCTTCTCTGGAAGAGCTGGACCCCAGCTGCGCGCGGCAGCTGGCGAGGCCTCCCATGACATTTTGCTAAGATGAGGACCATTCAGGACCCATGCAGCATGCCCAGCCTTTGCAAGCCTTGCGCTGCAGACGTGTCGTGGGCTTTAACCAGGAGAAGTTTCAGTCTAGAACAACCTGGGCTAGTAGAAGCCGTGGTGCAGCTTGCCGGGATCCTCGTTTGCCTTTTGAGAAAAATCCAACCTCTATGTTCAGATCCGTGGTTTGGGGTGAGGCAGAAGGGTGTTTCTGAGAAGCAATGCGGCAATTCGTGAGAAGTGTTCCGGCTTTGTTAGGCTCTAGTGCCCTTCTCACTTGGTCGCAGGTTTCGCAGCTTTGGCGAGAAACGCTTTGGCAACAGGCCTTGCCTCGGGGTGGTGGGAGACTTGCCGCCTCCGAACCGAGAATCAAGGGAAAAAGCGTAGAGCAAGTTATCACACTCGGTTGCGAGGCACGTCCTTTTTGATCGTTTTTCGGTTATGTGCAATCAGAAGGCTTTCATGATGCAGGGTGAATCAGGTTGCAAAGTAGCACAGGTCTCAGAAGTTCGAGCGTGACCCAAGTGCTAGCCGCTTGCCAGTGGCTCAACGCTCATGCCGAAGCAGCCGTAGCAGATGGGTTGTCTTTGACCACCCAGAATCGCCAAGTTGACAGGTGAGCAGGCTAGTGCTGTAAACCCCTAAACCCTAAACCCTGTGGTCATGACCATTCAGAGCGCTTCCACATGTCTTGTTCCGGCAGCATGCCTTTGCTTGCGCGTCTGTCTCAGCCATGGTGCACAGCTTCTGTCCGCCACAAAGTTCGCATGGAGATGATGATGTGTGTGCTTCCCCTCGTGTCTGCCACATCCTACTGTGTGTCTCTCGCCGCCGGCAAGGATTTGTCGATTTCAAAGCAGGTCTTCCTGCTTCAGGCGACTCTTCTGTTTCTATTGGCAGCTGTATCTGCACAGCTGAAGTTTATGAACTCGTTGAACAGCTTCGTCTACTTCATGGAGAACCCTCGCCACAGCAATGGCTTGTTGAGCACTTGCGCATTTATTTCTATTCGGCTCTCCATGGCTGAAGTGATGATGTCCTGTGACAACGAGGAAGTTTTGCAGATCTCTTTTGAGATGTTTGAGTCCGCCGTCCTGTGCATGTGCGTTTTGGATGAACCAGAGCAACTGATGAACCAATTCAGCTGTTTCTGCTGTTTTGCTTGCGGACGGTTTGTGTGGCTAGGCCAGGCAAGCCCTGTAGCATTCACAAGCCTTCGGGTATGCTCCGCCCTACTTCATGCCGCCGGCCTCCAAGCAATGAGCCAGCGGACTCGCTGCCTGCGTGCACTCCAAAAACCTCTCACAGCCGAAATCCTAAAGCAATTCGCCGGCTTGCATGAAAACAGCCCGAAGCAGGGCTGCTCGCATCAAAGAGAGCATATTCAACTTCGCCGACGACACCGCTCACTGCTATACCTGCGGCCAGCATGTGGATGCGATGCAGCTGCAATCATTGACCAAATCCGGAAGCGGAGAGCCCGGTGCAAGACGTGCTTCATCCGTGAGTTTTTGTGGAAAGGCCAGTTCCTGAGGCAGGGATGGCTGACCGCCGAAATTCTGGAATACATCCAGTCCTTCGTAGAGGATGACCCGCAGCAAGTGATCACATACGTGGTTGGGCTGCATTAGCCAAAGGGTTCGAGCCTTGTAAACACCTACAAAAAGAACAACAATCAAAACACGTATATAGTACTTAATATGATTACGTAGTAGTGTTCTGATTTTGGGTTGGGTCGTGCATCAGCGGCCACGATTTTCCGTCGCTCTTTGCATGGATTATTTATTTGCTTTCTGCCTCGGGGATTTCTCTGCTTATGTTTTTATATGACATGCATGTGTGTTGTCTGACCGTCCTGTCTATCTCTCTCATGTGCTTCTGCGACCGGAGGTGTCCTGGTCTGTTGAGTGGACAGATGAGCATGCATGCATGCTCATGCAATGTTCGGCTGCTCAAAATTCAAGACCCATTGAGAACTCTAAGAGGTCCAACTTTTTAAAAATTGTAAATGGCAAAATGGAGGATTGTATGTAAAGTTTAGCAAAATCGTGACCCATGGACTCTGGAAATGTATAAAGTACATGTGCTTTTCTGCACTCATGTGTTTGTAGGATCCTGCCTCTCGCAAGACGTACAAAGTCGTAGAAACAGTTGCCAAGCCTTGACTTCCCTTTGGTCCGTCCGTGCAAGATGCAGAGTCGGCTTTGTGTAACTCGTAGAGTCTACTGTAGCTTTTTCAGAATTTCTATGTCAGCTGAGGCGAGAGTGGAGTTCAGACAACATCGATGATGCTGAAAATAGCAATGATAATCGTAGTGATAACTAGTTTCAACCTCCCACTTGGTAGTTGTAGCCTCTCAAGCCCTACCGAGTTTCAGCGGCTGAAAATCATGATTTTCACCGCCACGACTTGCCTTCAGATGAGTAAGATAGGCGCCTTAATATTTAGAACGGGGTTTTGGGGGCTCCTCATTATACTTA